GCTGCCGTCACGGCGCACCCCCCCAGGCCCAACGCCGCCAGCAGCGGCAGCAGACATCCCGGGTCGTTTCAGGGCGGCTGCCCCTGCGGTGGCGGCGGCGCCGGATGACGATCCTGCGCCGGTTCCGGAGCTTACGCGAGCGGCCGCGGCGCCCTTGCCGACGGCTGCGACTGCCGTATGACCCGGCGGGCGAGACCCTGCAGTGGCGGCCGCACCGCCAGCAGGTCTGGCGGCGGTGCCGCTACCGGGCCTTGCGGCGCCGCCGCCGCCAGGTCGGCCGGACGTGGCGGCGCCTCCAACGGGTGCCGTACTGCGCCCACCCGTCAGGCCCTGGGGCTGTGGCGGCCGACCCGACGGCGTAGCTACAACTTGTCGTTGGTGATTTGTCGGTGCCGTACGGCTGCCGGTGCCGTTTGTAGCGGGTCCAGGTGCGCCGGGACGGGGGGCTTTCTGCCCCGCAGCCGTACCCGCTGGCGAGGCGTTGCCACGAGGCTGCCCAAGCTGCTGGTGTTGCTGCCCTCCTGGCTTGGAGCCGTTAACTGCGGTGTTGCTGCCGCCAGGCGCCTTGCCCCGTGCTGGACCGGCTCCGGAACCACGACAGCCGGCTTTCCCGCCGGCTGCCGCTGCCGCTGAGGATGCGAGCTTCGAGGCGCCATTGAGACGTGCTGAGCTGGGCCCGGGGCCTGCCGCGTTGTTCGGGACCGAAACCGAGGGCTTGGGTTTGGGCTTTGGTAGCTGTGCAGGACCGTCGGTTGTGAGGTCCTCGAAAAGGTCTAAGTCTGCCTGGATTAGCTTTTTTCGGAGCACCCTAGGATCGACTGGCTTGGGCTTCGGAGCCGGCGCCGCGCCTGTTGTGCCTTTGCCCCCTGCACCAGGTCCGTTGCCAGGATGCTTGTCGCGCTGCTTGAGCGCAGCGGGCGGCGGGTCAGGTTCATCCCTTGGAACCATGACTGCGCATACTGCGCGGGTTGAGACAGGGCCGCCAAAGATAGACCGCAGTACCCTGTTTGGGAAATATTAACACAGGCAGCTTTAGCAGCCGAATCGGCGGATGGAAGGCGCGCACAACGCCGGTCAAGAACACTGCATAATGGGCTAAGCTGAAACGAGGCGAGATGAGGCAGGGATTTCGAAAAACAAGCACGTAGCCAATAGCAGCATCAGTTTCCAAGGCCTATCTTGAGCGTCCGCAATTATAGCCCAGAAAGTTCACTTACTCGCCTCCAGCCATACCGCCAATTACTCCCATGCGCTGCTGCAAAATAAGCAGATGTTCTCAGCTCCACCTACAGGTTAATGGCTGCGCTGTCTGACGAAAAATTAGGGCGCAATATATGGTACTCGTTCTTGAATATCACTCATATTTTATTCTGTCAATTTTGCTGCTATCATTTATACGTTGTTGAATTTTCCTTGCCTTTATAATCCGCGGAAGTCTGGAAAGAGGACAGTCGCCAGTTGACGCCCACTAGGCAACGTGCGTCTTGCTGTTAGCCAAGCTTGCAAGAGAAGACAATATTTGGAGCAGCTCCCTTTTTGTTTGAAGGAGGTAGAAGCTAGAAGCTTGTACGGCGTCCCGGACAACTGTCGATTCCCAAAAGCCGCACCTAAACCCAGTATCTGCCAACTCGTCAACTTGTAAAACAACATTTGCAACGCCAATTGCTTCGCTGTGCTTCGGTTTGGTGCAAACTGACAGGGCGTTCACACTGTTCGAGTTAAGCACGCAAAAGCTCGATACCATCATTAATCGTGTGGAACAGTATAAAGTAGGGCCATTCCGCGTCCACCTGCTCCGGAAATGTCACTCCACGGGACCAAAGCCTCGTTCGACCCGCTGTCAGCGGCTGGCGAAGCCTCGGACGAAGTGAGCAGGGACATTGGTTTATAGTGGCTCGGGGCCAGTATAGTGCCCCTCTCGTTAACGCAAATGTTCAGGGTGGCACACACGCATTTCGTGATTACCCTCAAGCAGCGCAACGCCCTTGTCCATGAGAATTTTCGGCAAAGCAGTGTTATTGTTCAATAGCGACTTGCATGCTTTTGTGCTCTGAGCTGGAAGGTTGAGTCGGACTGCTTCCCAATGTCATGCTTTGCCGGATTGGAGTGCCGTTGCCTTCTGCCAGCTCCCCTATTTGGATCAGGTTCCAAAGCACTCAAAGCCCCTCTAGGCCCCTCCCCAATGATCGCCTTGGTCGGTCCAAAAAAGCCTTATGGCTCCGCTCTCTACCAGTCCGGGGGCGTATGCTACCTTTCCCTACCTGCACCAGACAACGCGATTGGCTGTCCCAGAAATTTTCCGTTTTTGTAAATTCTGAAGCAAAAGAAAAAATTGGATAGCATATAAATACCATACCATTTAAGTTTCCCGCTGAGGGCGATCGATCGGATATACATACACACACACAACACACACACACACCCCGAAATGCTGCATCGCTCTTCTCCACTCGCTCCCCTCCCCTCCTCTTATCCGAGCTAAACATAATCATGATCATGAAGCTCAGCCACAGAAAGATGCACACCAGCATGCGTATTGCGTTTGTTTGTGGTTCATGTTATTAGGATTGCGCATAACATGTATTATTTATGGCGATCCTTTCAAATCCAATGTTACGACAAATGGGAAGTCGTAATGTATTGCAGTTGTAAATGTAATGTAATGCAACCAGTCCTGCTCCGAAACTCGCACTTGCAGACATTCACCACCGTCTATGACTCGACATCGCAGCTGGCGCCGCCGCCGTCCGAGGCGGTAGGAGCTGCCGCGCCTGCTGCCGCGGTTGGCGTCGGAATGGGCGCGCCGGCGTGGGAATACGACAGTTTCATGACGGCACGGAGCGCGATGTCGTACATGACGTCATCCCATGGGGTGACCACGTCCGCTATGTCGTCGCAGCCGCAGCCGCCGTCGTCGACCTTTCCGTGCCTCGCGGAACGGCCTGTCGTACAAGGGCCGCCGCCAGGGCCGAGTGGCGGCGGCGTTGTGGATCCGTACGATCCATTCCTGGCCAGCGCAGGGGCGCCGCCACCGCCGCCGCCGCTGCCGCCAATGCACCCACCGCCCCAACTGTCGAAACAGCATCACACGGCGGGTCTGCTTGACGACAGCAACCCCTTTACTGCAGCCGTCGGTCCGCCTTACCAGCAGAGTACGACAGCGGTGGCGGGGCCGCTCAGCTTTGGTGAGGACGCCGATGGTCCCGGTGTGGCGCAGACAGCGGCAGCGTTTGCCATGCCGCTTGACTTGTACGACACACCTGATGCATTCATGCGGCCTAACGCTGCTGCTCCACCAGCGGTGGGCGTGGCGGCGCCTCCGCCTCCGCCACCGGCGGGGCCCGCCACGGCTTCCGCCGCGGCGGCACCGCCACTTCCGCCGCTGTACGACTTCACGCGGGAGTTCAGCCGGATGCTACTCGTCAGCGAGGATCCTGCGTCGCCTGTCGACGGCGGCGGCTCCGCTTGGTACGACAACGGCCAGCTCAGCGGCGCCAGCGTCAGCGCAACCGCTGGGACTAGCGCGGCCGTGCCGGCAGCACCCGGCAGCTTCAGCGGCCCGGATGCCGCCGTCAGGGGCACTGGCGCCGGTGCCACCCTGGCGTCGTACACCGCCGCCGCGCTTCTGACTAATACTGTATCCGTACACTCGCCCCGGAAGGCATTGGCGCCGTCGCGTATTCCTGGTGAGGGTGACCCTTCGGGGTGCGGGGCTGCCCCCTCCCCCGCAACACACACACCCCCATGAGCCGCTTACTCCCCAATCCAACGGTGTGTGTGTATTTCTTCTTTCCTAATTCCTCTTCGGCGTTTAAATGTATGAATGGATTATATATCCGCGCATATAATTAACGTGTAATATAATATTATAAATATATTTAGTAAATATTAAATGAGTAGATAATAACATATAATATAGATGTATAATATTAATAAATGCATATGATTAATATTATTATAAAATACATTGAATACAGTAACATTTCATTTATTTAGAAGATAATGTTTTCCTGTACCTATCAAAGATGTTCTTCCTTTCCACTTGCAGCTACAACATATGAAGGGCGCAAAGTGCGCTTCTGCGCACTCGTACGTCACCCTCCCACCCTTACCCCCGCCAACACTCGCACTCGTAGGTCTGTCCGAGCCGTACATTATGTACCGCATTACCAGCCGTAGCGCAGTCAGCCCCGAAACCACGGTGGAGCGCCGTTTCCGCGACGTCGTGGCACTTGCGGAGCTGCTACAGGTACCGTAGTGGATTCCCTGCGCTGCATTTCCCCATAGGGAGAATTCCGTGTCTTAATTGCTCTTGATGGGGATCGATATGGGGATCTGGGGGGATAGGGGGGTATGCAGGAGGAGGGGCAGACGAAGGATGAGGACGGGGCGAGGGCTAAGTGAATATGCCGCGGGAAGGGAGAGTTCTATGTAATATATTTATAAATATTTTACCTGACGGACTGAATCCGATATCGATTTTGATTTCGAGTTCCTTTCCCCCCGCGTTCTCCACTCGTTTCTCCTCCGCCTTCAACCCATCCACCCCCCTCCCCCCCGGCCTTCCCCCCGGTCTCCCCCCCGGGCAGTCGAGCTACCCGGGGTGTTTCGTGCCTCCTCGTCCCAGTCGCAATGCCGTGGAGGGTAGGAGGATGCAACCTGCGTTCATTGAGGAGCGGCGAGCCGGGATGGAGAAGTTCCTAAGAAGGTGCGGATAAGCGGGTTTAGGGTTTTTTGAATTTGGTTTCTTTACTATGAAAGGTGTCAAATTAGACACACAGCATCAAGCTATATATTTAATAATTTATCTAGCAGATTATGAAAAAAAGGAAGCTGCTGATTAATTAAAATTGTTTCTCGTTGTTTTAGGGTTTTAGAAAAATTTGAGACCATGAAATTTACCGGAGACACTTGACGGTGGTTGGAGGGTATGACATGTACGACTGGGCGAACCTTTCTTCATGTGGCCGGATGCTACCCATTTAAAGCCGCGTGCGGCGTATTTAGTAAATCTGTACGGATGTGTCGTCGTGCCGTACGCAGGCTTGTCGTACACCCTGTGCTTGGGCCGAGCGAGGTCACGCAGGTGAGTGAGTTCATGATCAAGTTGAGTTGAACCTGGTCCTTGGTTTGTATGCGCTGCCGTACTTGTCCTGCCGTACTTGTTTACGGAGAAAGCCGCAACGATGCCTGAGCAGCGGAAACTGTCACTTTTTTCGTCGTCCTCGTAAGCTCCTCACTCTTTATTGCTAAAATTACGCCTTAATAAAAGTAGTTATTCTCTATTGCAGTGTATGATGAGCTTGTTGCCTCATGACTTGCCTAATCTGGCAAATGGAGCATTGCGGAGGGCCGTTACTGCCGTACCGCGACGGCGCCCCTCATTCGAAATGCTCCTTTTCATCAGGTCCCCTCTTTCATTTGGTCGCTTCTTAACATGAACTCCGATCACGCCATCCCCTGCCCCACCCTTCCTTATTGCCAGACACCCACCGTTCTATGCACCCATCGTACCTGAAGGACCCCGATATGTCTTTTAGGAAAAAAAGATCTAATAACCCCCCTCTTACCCTGGCAGCAGCTTCACTCGTTTGTGGTTCGTCTTTCCCCCTCACTTACCTCGCGGTGTAGATGTCGTTAGTTTAGTAAATGCTTACGCATGTTGTCCAGCCTCCCTCCCCCGCTTCCAAGGATCAAAAAGCAACGTCGCTATGAACACTTGGCCGCTTGGTGGTGTTTGCCACCCCTTGTGGTGACAACTTGTGAGCGCTGTGACAGGGGATCCGACCCGTTGATACAAAATGTCTGACGCAGAGCCGACTTGTTTTCGTATATTATTTGGATTTACTAACGGCTTTTATTTTTTCCTTTGCTTTTTCCGCTTCAGGTTTGGTTGCATTCTCCCAGGCCCGACTTACGACTCGCCCCGGAGTGGGTTCGGCTGCTGCCATCGGGCCCACCCGGGCTCGCCAAGAGTACGGCAAGGCTGCTCTTCCAGGTATCATATAATTGTTTGTCAAATATATCATATTTGGATGTGAAATTTTGGACGTGAAAAAATCGCTTCTCAGTTTGTATGCGGTTTGCATGTATGTATGTATGCAACGTGCGACATGGACAAAAATCTGGCCATCCAGCTTGTTTTATCATTTTGTTACAATTCTATTTTGTAAATTATATATTGCTAAGCTAAACTAATATATGTATATGTACGTATGTAATATATATAATATTTTATACATACACATATATATTAAGTTTTGATTAACCTGATAAATTACAAGCTTGAAGTAAAATTAAATTAAATTAAAATACAAATATATGCAGGTGGTTGGTGTTGAGCGTACTGTGCCCTCTCCCGTGGACATCACCCGGTCGGCCTCGGAGCGGGGAGATATGTACCGCCTTGTACGGGAGCGTACGGCACAGATGCGAGGGATACTTGCACGAGAGCAGGTGCGCCGGGAGGTGTTCGGGAGGTGACCGAATGTGAACTCAAAAAGGGGCCATGTGGGTTCATGAAGGCCGACTTTATTAAAAAGAGCTCACTGTGGGCGGACTAGGCTTCATAAAGTCCAGCTAGTTCACAATCCGGGCCGGACGGTTCTGCAAGTGATTGAACCCCCCCAGCTTTCACGCCCCAACATCGTTCACGTGGCCCCCAGCCGTCCTATCCCCATGTCGTCCTTTGTCTCGTTCTCGTTGCATCAAGAGCCTTTTTGGTCATTTATCCTCCTCTCCCTCTCCCTCTCTCGCCCTTTGCCGCTGTTCCTCCGAAACCATCATCACAACGACATACGGGTGGCGGTTATGGCGGTTGTGGGACCTCGTGTGTGTCTATCAACTATGTCAACCGCCAACAGCCAACCGCCGTGGAGGTCCAGCTACGGGAGGAGGCGGCGGCGTTGCAGGTTGGACGGCGTGTGCGTGTGTATGTATGTGTGTATTTGTGTGATAATGTCTGTTTGGATGACAGATAGACCGACATACATACAGATTGCTTTCCTTGGCTGACTGTACGTCTGTCTGTCTATCCGCCTGCGTGTCCGTCTGTATACCTGTCTGTTTGTGTGTCTACCTGTCCTGCCTTCTTTCTATTAATCCGTTTGTTTTCCTGTTTGTCTGTCTGTCTGTCTACCTATATATCTTTTTAAAATCTTCTCTCTTCCTCCGCTTTTCGTTGATCTGCATGATCTGCTATTTGTCAGCCACCTCTGTCTGTCTGTCCGTCTGTCTGTCTGTCATGTCTGTCTCTTATTCATGTCTGTCTCTAAGCGCAGTCTCAACCCCGTCCAGCCCAACACGATTCCGATTTGCGCAACCCTAACACACCTCACCGCCTGACTCCGGATGTCCTTAGAGTCCCCCACCCCCCACCCCCTCAGCCCCCCTCCGTCCCGCTTCTTAACCCTCGCCTTCTTGCATCATACTCTTTTGCCCTCTCCCTCCCCTCTTCTCCTAGGCTATCCGTCTATCCCTGGTATCTGCTTCATTCGCCAGTGGCTCGTCTTACCTCCCCTCTCCCCTCCTCTCCCCCCCCCCACACACACAACCGTCATTCCACACACACACACACGCGCACACACACACATGCAACCAGGAGCGATCCGAGGCTCTCCTGGCGCTGAGCCGTCGCGCGGATATCTTAGTGGCTCGCTCGTCCAAATGCGCCAGGGTGGCCGGTGACTTGGGTACGGCACTGGCGGCGGAGGCGGAAGTGGAAGCGGCGGCGGAGGCGGTGGGCCCTACACCAGCGACGGCTCTGCAGGTCGCGGCGGAGGGGTTGGCAAAGGTACGGTACGGCAAGCTGTACGGCAGTGCCTTTATGATGTGTGAAACAGGGGGGTGTATCTTCGCCCGTGGCAGCTACCCTGCGAAACCCTGCCTTCCCCGGTATTTCGGGGCACCCTCATCCAATCACCCTAGTCAACTTCTCAGTGGATCGCTCAGGTTCCGCACCCACCACCAGCATCCAACGGAATCTGCCGGGTCGACAGCGGCCCAACTCCATTCCTGGTCGGCTCGCAGGTTACCTTTATCCCAGGTCACCACCGTCCATCAACTAGGGGCGCAATACCTTCCACCATCGGAAGGACTTTTGACCCTAACGGGTATCGATCCCGGGATCTCCCGGGGGCAATGGTCGCGCCTTACCAGTGGTGCCAAACCCTTGTATATATGTATGCATGCATTCATATACGCATGCCGTACTCAGTCGGATAATGTACGCCGCGTTGGTGCGTATTGTATGCTGTAGATCAGCAAGTTGTACGGCGTCGCCACTGACGCCTCCGCCAAGCACTTGACGCCGATACATGACTGGCTGGCGGCGGTGCCCGGCGCGACGGCGGCGCTGGCGGCGCGGGAGAGGTGCTTGCTGACGTTGGCGACCCTCAGGACAGACGAGATAGAGGCGAGGGCAAAGCTGGCGGAGGCGGAGGCGCGGACCGGCGGCGGCGGAGGAGCCGCTGCCGCGGCATCCTCACCGTCGACGCCGCCGTCGTCCGCTATGAGAAAGGTACTTTTACTTTTCGTTTTTTGTGGCGACGGTGTTTATTTGTAAGCGGGTGGTGGGTGGGTGATTATCTAGGGGGGGAGGGGGAAGGGGGAACGGGGTCCGTACCCTGTCCCGCACCCGTGCCGTCGTGCTCTCATCGGGTTTCTCCCCACCGAAAACAACAGCAACACCAACTAATTCTGTACGAGCAACACGCAGGCATATCTAGCCGTACCGTATTCTTCTCAAATTTTCCGAATTTAAAAGCTCAAATTCAAATTCAAGCTGGATCGCGATGGATTTCGCCTACTCTTTTCCTGATCCATGTCGAAGTGCCGAGGTCGCTTACCTCTTTAGGACGCTTAAAACCTTCACTCCCGCCAAACTTACCCAACTTCTCTTTTCCCCATCTTGCTGTCCATCGTACGTCATGTACGAATGTACGACACGCATGCACGAATATTTTTTCATATGTTGTATTATATATTGATTTCTCAATTTTTCTTGCAGGTGGAATCCCTGCGGCTGCGGGTCTCCCAGCTCGGTACGGCATTGACTGCCGCGACGGACGAGTACGAACGAGTGGGCTCCAGGAACGTGTCTGAGATTGCCGCGTACAAGGTGATAAAAGCGGGGTGGTTTGCGTTTGTTTCGGTTGGGGAGATTTATTTGTTTTTGTTCTAGTTCGGTGTTAGAAGTTCGGTATTAGAAGGGTCGTTAGTCGTTAGTCGGTGGAAGGGTTGTTGGACGGCCTGAAAATTCCTTTTTCCTAATGTAATTGGTGTTGAAATCATCATCACCATTATCATCATCATCATTCGGGGTCGACTCCGGTCCTGGGGAGAAGGGGGGTTTCTCATCATAATAAGCTTTATCGAAAAGGCCGTGGGGGACTATTCCCACACAAGATGGAAGGGATAGAAGAGGTGGGGTAGAGCCAGGGGGCGGTTGAGGTGCTGTGGGTGGGTGGGGGGTGTAGGGGATGTGTGTTTTTGACTTACGGCGGGCGGGAGGGGGAAAAAGGGGAGGTGGGGGGAGGGGGAGAGGAGGCGAAGTGGCGCTTCTTCGGACGCCCGCGACAGAATGCAAAGAGATGGTGAGGTAGCCGTACAGGTACTGGGTAGTGACAAGTTCCGTACACGGCTTGGGGGCGCTCGTACGTAAAGGCCTGAGAGGGGCCGTAGACAGCCGTCGAGACAGCCGTTGAGATTCAGATTTAGTCGGCAGAGCTTTACATGGGTGATATAGGCCTTGTGGTTTCAAGGGAAAGAGGTATACAGATATACATACATACATATCAACTTTAAATCCAAACGCTCACTACTGCTACAGGGCATGGGCATCACGGTAAGCGAGTCCGCTCTTTCTTTCTATTTCCTGCGACAAAGCTACTTGCCCCACTTGCCGTACTTGCCGTACTTGCCCCACTTGCCCCACTTGCCCCCTCCGAAATGAATTACGGGTTGCGGTCTGGTCTCGGGTGCTCGACCTGCGCATCGACATCACAAGGCCCACATGAGCCGGGAGTTATCCGATGCCGTACGAGAATACGCTCTCGTACAGCTGGCAGCGGCGCAGAAGGCACACGATATCTGGGCGGCGACGGCCGGCCATCTAGCGACGCTGGCGGCGGCGGCGGCTGCCGCCGCCGGGGCGACGACGGCGGTGTCCGGGGTTGGCGGCGGCGGCAGCGCCGGGGCCAGCGTTGTTTACTTCGGTAACAGCGGATCGGGGATTGGCGTCGGTCACGGCGTCAGTAGTGGCATGTACGGCAGCATGTACGGCAACTGATAAAGAGAAGAAATATAAAATAGTGTATTTATATTTATACCGGCGTTGAGACCCGAACCCACATTTTCTGGTGAAGCTAGAAGTAGATTCTGGGACTCGAACTCTGGATTGCCGATCTCTAACCCAGATCCTCTCTCTCTCTCTCTCTCTCTCTCTCTCTGTGTGTGTGTTAGTGTGTTAGTGTGTCTATGCGCGCGCTTCTTAATACTGGAGAGGGTGTTGGGAAAAGGCGGCGAAGGAGGTCTTAGACTACGTTTTTTGGGCGGGGGAAGAGGGTTGTGGTTAGAAGTCAAGTTTTTCGGGATTCCAATATACATCAATGGTCACCTTCAACTGCACAACCACAACCACACCCACATCCACATCCACAACCACATCCACACCCCATAATCTATCTTCCGCACAAGGGTTTCCAAAACTGGATTAATTTGATATAGTCAAGCGCGGATTGGGGCCTTTTATAAATTGTTTGCTGCAGTAAGAAGTTGAAAGGGGGAGTAGAAAGAGATTTATGGTTATGTACGA